CAGGCCCGGGGGCTGGCTGTGCCCGTGCCCAGCATCCCATCGGGTGCAGTGGTGGGACGTGCCTGCACCCTCTTCCCTCTGGGGCTTCCTTCCTGTCGCAGGCGGCTGTGTGCCCGCTCCCTCCCTGAGCGGCCCCGTACCAGCTCCTGGGTGGAGAAAGGTATTCAGAAACCAAACCTGGGTGCTGGGCGTGGGCACGGGTGCCCGTCAGATGCAGCCGCCGCCTGTGGGGCTGGAGGGGGGATCGCACCAGCGCCCAGGGCGGTGTGGTATCGCGGGCGTCACGGGTATCGCGGGCTTGTCAGCAGCCCTTCCCCTGGATTTGTGATCCCATTTCTGCCGTGAGAAACTGGCTTTATCCTCCTCCATGTATCTACCTGTCTGCTCAGTTTGAGGACGGCCAGCCTGTGACGTGCTGCCCTGTGGGCCGGTGCTATCCCCGTGGGCCGGTGCTGCTGGCCACGGTGGCTGGTGGGGTCGGCCAGCCTGTGACGTGCTGCCCTGTGGGCCGGTGCTGCTGGCCACGGTGGCTGGTGGGGGGTGTGTGCGTGTATGCGTGTGTGTGCACTGAACATGTGGTGCAGCCCCCGACGGGACCCCGCAGGCCGAGGCTCCGGCGCTGCTCTGTCCTGTGCTCACGCTCTCTGGAGGGACTCCTCCGGGCAGTCCTGTCACCAGCTCAATGTGTGTGATCTGTTTGTTTCTCTTGTTTCTAACACATAAAGGTCCTTTAAACATTAACTTAGTTTTCAAGTTGAAAGCATTTACATGAGTCCAAAATCAAGCTATAAAATGAGATACACGTAGGAAGAACTGGCTACCTTTCCCACCCCTTTCCCTGTGTGCACGTACACGTGTGCACATGTGTGTACATGCATGTGAACATGTGTGCATGTGTTGTGCGTGCAGAGCATGAACGTGGCCCTGAGACCTTGGCAGTGGGTGCACAGAGCCCTCCTGTTCCCTCTGTCAAAGCCTCTGTGGGGACGGGTGCTCATCGCGTGTCCGCCATTCCCCGTCCGTGGACTCTGAGCCCCTCTAGCCCTTGGCCGTGGCACAAGGTGCTGCACACGGCGGGTCCGCTGCCCCCTCTCCGCAGGGCTGGCCCGTCCTGCACCGACGGCCCTTTCCAGAGCGTCCACTGACCTGCACGCACGGCCGGCGCTCTCAGCTGCTTAGTGTCTCAGACACTGCGGAGAGTGTGAGGGTTCAGTCTGAGCACTCGGTCACAGGTGCAAGTTCCGCTCAAGCAGCACAGGAGAGAAAGCCATTTCCAGTCGATGCCTCAGTGAGGCGTCAGGGCACCCACCACGGGTGTGAGCGTGGGCCTGGGGCTTCTCTCCGAGCCGGGGACCGACCCGCAGGCGACGCCTTCAGATGCAGCTTCAAAAGGCAAAGCCAGACGCAGAGCTGCCGGAAGAGCAGAGGGGCCCACAGGCAGCGGGGGCACAGACTTGGGGTGTGGGGCGGGGCTGGGCACAGGCGGGAGGGGGGCACAGACTTGGGGTGTGGGGCGGGGCCGGGGCACAGAGCTCTGCCGTGTGGAGGGTGTGCCGTTCCGAGCGGGACGTGGGCTTGTGGGCGGCTGTCCTGTTCTAGTTGGTCACTGAAACCTTCCCTACATGCCTATCCTATTACATGTGTGCAAGGAAGAGGTGGGGTCGGTAGCAGGTGAAGGTGCATCCCAGGTGTGTGCCCTCCTCAGTAGGAAGAGCGGTGGCGGCCATCGTGGTGCACACGTGGGGACACGTCTGCAGGCAGACACTGTGCCGGGCGCCGCCCCGCTGTGTGGGCAGCCTGTGTAGACTGAAACCTTCCCTACATGCCTATCCTATTACATGTGTGCAAGGAAGAGGTGGGGTCGGTAGCAGGTGAAGGTGCATCCCAGGTGTGTGCCCTCCTCAGTAGGAAGAGCGGTGGCGGCCATCGTGGTGCACACGTGGGGACACGTCTGCAGGCAGACACTGTGCCGGGCGCCGCCCCGCTGTGTGGGCAGCCTGTGTAGATGGCCCTGTCTCTGATCGTGTCCCCCCGTGCGGTGAGGC